GGCTAGCTGTCCCCCCCCCACATACACTCTAAAAGCACAGATACACAGTTATCCAATACACGCGACTTATTCCGCGTGTGCAAAAACCAACCGCAATCACAAACGTGTCCCAGTGTATCACCGGGAGCAAATGGTCCATGCACGAACGTTGGAATAACAGGTTTAGCTGTACCAGCCCGGTTGGTTCAATTTGTATGCACACGAGCAACCGAATATCCGTCCTGTTTGTACTTTCTTTACGTGTAACTGTATCTACCCGTTGCCCATGCATCACTATTACAAGCCATTTCTCACCCAACTGGAGTCAATGAACATCAATGCTGACATGAGCAGTACTCCCAACACAATTGATATCATATTGCCAGATTCGTTACCTGTATACATACATACATGCAACCTTCTGCCTCGTTTTTTATTACTTGGGATGGGTAGGTACCTTGAACTGACACCTTCCGGGAAGGGTGTTATCACTTTATCCGGTACCAGAAAAACCCACGTCCAGAACCCAAACCGGGGCAGTGACAAATAAACTGGGTGGGATGAGTACTCGACAATCCAGTACATTCAATTCAAATCAAGTGCAAATCCAACTGCAAAATGACCCATCAAAATGGAGATACGGATATATGTACACTAAGGTTACAGGATAAACTCAAAGCTGTGAACAGATCTTGCCGTATAAGGTGCGGGGTGTTGGGGGACAAAAGAAAAGCGAGCAAGAAAGGGAACTGTGGCAGAGTAGTACGCTTTTGTGCGTGCTTGAACGTTTTTTTGCACACAGAGCGAGTAGAAGAGATTGAAATACATTTGGATACTGTGAAGTGAAAGAGGATTACAGGAGTCAGACAACATTTCGTGAGCTATTTCGTCACAAGCTTCGATGTGTTTGGAAACAACGCGAAGGATTGTGTGGGTTTTGGATAAACTGAAACATGAATAAATTGTTCCAATATACCATCATTGCCCATTGTAGGAAAACAAAATGGAGAACAATTTCGTTTGCGTTGATTATTCCACAGGCTAATACATCAAAATTTACACCAAACTGTTTAGAAGAGAGGGGGGGAGAGAAATCACGACAAATTGGAAAAAAGATAATCAACATTCCAGTTCCATTACGGGATGCTGCTCACACTTTGGTCTTCACACATACACACTGGTTCGGGTCATTAGGGGTGGGTGGGGATATGGTTGTGTGGTGTTGGCTATGGAAGACTGAGTGTTCTTACAAATTGTTTTCCGGAGCATAATTGGGGGACTATGTAGGTGGAGTCCGATCACTTCTGCTGTGGCCAAAATGCGACTCCTAATCCCCCTAGATCGATAGCTGTGAACGAAGTAGAGGAGTCGAAACACCTCGGCCACATAAGCCATGTGATTTGATTCCACTAGGTGTGAAACGATTGATGGTCCTAATTATCCTACTATTCAACCAGGCCGGGTAGTGCTCACGGGCTCGTTCAGATAAACGTCTGCTCGTGCGGCCAATTTACATTACCTCACAGGAACAGGTAAATAAGTACACACCTTTTTGTAGTAAACCAAGAAAAACCATTGGGGAGGCATCGAGCCAGTATGGTAATATGCAAGCATATATAAACAGTTTTATCAGATGGGAGGGAATAAATAATGGCCTTGGGAGTAGGGTGAAAAATGAAGATATTCTGACTTAGTAAAAACGCATTGTGCCCAGCCTAAGATAGAGAATGGTTAAGAATAACACCCAAGTATTTCACTTATTTTCTCCGACTGAAGGGTGCGTCGTTAATGAATAGCGGCTGATACATCTCAATAGAATTAGAATAAAATTTATCCCTGCAAAAAAGGAAATAAAACATCAACACATTTAGATGGGAGAGCTATGTGCAGAAGACAGCTCGTCAAGCAATGAGATACCAAGCTGGATTGTGGGGACGGGTTAGGCCAAAGATAGCGCCATCAACGAATTTTATCTGCAAGGAGTCATTGTAAACAGGCATGGAAGCTAAATAAGTGGAAAAGAAGAAAACAAGTCATCATCATCATCATCGTTCAGCGAAATACGGGGAAGCGAACTTCACTGGTCGCTGCAAAACTCGCAATGCATATGCATTGGGGATTTGATGGACGGGTACTGCTAGGGTGTCCAGCCGCTAAGCAGGAGAACGATTAGAGTTCTCGACCAAAGCCTTCAGTTCTGACAAGAACCTAGCCGCAAGGCAGCGGGTGAAGCGAAGTGGAGTCCCATATACTTGGATCAATTACTCCACCATATTTTACCGACTGAAACGCCAACCCGAATCTGACCCCCAAACTGGAGGACCAGGAGGCTGGACTTGGTCCGGTCTCTATCCTTCTACCTTATAGGTATGATAAGATCTCCTGGATAGAAAAAGTCATCCTGTGTAGCTCATTGGGTCAGAGAGGTGCACAAGCCATCACACTACGTTAGGGTGCAGTCTTGTCGTATTAGCATCCGCTACTATAAAAATCAAAACTTCGCCGCTGTAGGAACAAAATTCCCTTTTGGACCGTGTTCGTCGGAATCACCTTCATCTTGTGGATAATCTTTCCTTGGCAACAACGTTTCAATCACTCATCCAATGCCATATGATCTCCTTACCACCCTACGGCTCAGAAAATTGACTACCACGAGAAATAGATAAATACAGGCCGTCGGTGTTCGGAGACTGTTGTCTACGGCGCATTCCGCCAATCTGGTGGATTAACTGGACAGGCAATGCTGAGGTTAGATGCAGAGTTTTAGGTAACCGGGGTCACCCACTGGGGCAAGTGGTCGACCTCCACAGATTACTTTGGTTGGGGCTTGTAGTACGTATGTCACCCAGTAGGCAACCACGGTGAGCGGTGTTTTCCGAAGCAGGCAATGGATGGAAAAAGTCAAGGATGGTCCAAATAAGACCTGGAATGAGAGTATGAACAGGATAATCGATCATGTAGGTTGCGTGAGGCTCACTGGATAGGGACCTTGGGATCATTGTAATCAACGTAACCGTTGATTACAAACACTGAGTGATATGGCTTCGTCATAAACATTGGTGCTCGTGCATTTTCCTAATTCCTTTGCAATCAAATTGGTAGGCAAAAAACAGTAACAAAAACCGCCGCATGAAATTGCTATTTTTTTTTTAATTTCAACACGAAACCAATTACAGAGAAATGGCAAATGTGCCACAACATATGAACAGAAAGAAATCTGAAGAATGTGTTCATATTTTGTGTGGGCATGTTACTTCCCGATTGCCCCGGTCGAGGAAGAGGGATAACCTCGGGGTCCCCACCCGTAGCCTTTGGCTAGAAAGCCAAACCTGCAAGACAACAGGATGGAGTCCAGAGTCCGCAGTCCATTGGGGGCCGGCGTCCAGTTCACTGAATCATTCGCCCTTTGGACGAGGTCAAACGTCCAAGGTGCCCAATAAGCCGGTGACC